AAGCCGCCGCCCGAGCCCTTGGCCGTGCGGGGCGTGGCAGGGCTGCCGCAGGTGTCTGACGACCGTCGCACGGGAGGGGGCGGGGGGAGGAGGCTGGACCTCGGCGGGTGAAGGGCCCTGGGCGCTCCTGGGTCGTGGTTACCAAGGGCTGGCTTCTTGGCCTTCAACAAAGCGACAACAGCATTCATCATTCTTTGCAAAGCAGCCACCATGGAGGTGACAGTGTCATTAATCTGTGAGGTCTCTGTCTGCCCCCGGGGAGCCTCAGTCCCTCAGTCAGTGAGACTACAGGGTTGTTCATGAGCTCGTCTTTGCTCTGGGATAGAGGAATGACTCCAAATGGCCTTTACTGTTTAATGGGTGCTCATCTAGCATGTCTTCCGCAAGTGGAAGACTTGGCCATCCTCAATGAGGCGTTTATTGTGTTTAGATTACGTGTGTCCCCATAGGACCCGCCGTGTGAGGAGTTACCCTGTGTCTCCTAAGGGCTTTAGTGGTAGAGATCCTAGCTCCTTGTGGGGGTGCCTCAGTCTTTATCTACCAGCTACCTTCAGCCCAAGGCAACTCAAAATAGGAGCCAAAGGGCTCTCCTGAGCTTCCCACTAACTCCTTGGTTCACAAGACGAGCCACCAAGGTCCTGGGCATAGGCAGGGTACATTTTTTGTTGGTCTGAGTTGAGCTGGTTGTGAAGCTCGGTTGTCAGGAACAGGTGTCTGTAAAATTATTTTTTCCTGTACCGTACCCTTGGTGGCAGAGAAGTGGTTAAGGGGCTTCCCCAAAGCTTCACAACATCTCCCAGCTTTAATGTCCTACTTTGGTGAGGATGAAGACGACTCAAGGGAAGAAGTAAACAGTAGTTCTTGCTGGGGTACAGGTAAGCTTTGTGCAAACCTAGGCACAAAGCACACCTTTCCTGGCAAAAAACGGTTCCATCTGTTCTTGGGTCAATTTTTCCTTGCATTAGTGAGAACAGAGGTGCCTTTTGCCAGGACTGTGGACTTCTAGGGAGGAGCTGGTTATAAGCTTTGCTCGCTCTGGCTTAACAGCTTCAGGGGAGGCAGTGTGAGCTGAGAATCAGGACATCTGGTGTATGGCCTTAGTTTACCTATTCTTAACTGTGCAAAAGTTGGCTGGTTAATCAGATATAAAATGAACACAATAATCCTTATTATTATCTAAATCTCAAATGAGATCAAATGAAATAAATACATGAGTGGGTTCTAAAAAGTAAAATCATGATGCATGTGCTTTTGGCAGACTCCAGAACACCAAATTTGGTTAAAATCTAACAGGGGCATAGCACTTCATCTGTCAACAGTGGAACAGATGATGATAATTTACACTTACATAATGCAACTTCCCCAGGAATTTCAGGCAGTTGAATTGAATCCCTCTGTTTTGGTGATAATTATCTTTCAAATTTACATTTTATCAGAATTGCATTTTATTGCTTTCTCTGCTTAATAACATCTTACCACTGAAGATTAAATTTAGAAGTTTTTTTCCTAACAAAGTGCCTTACGATTGAGTTTCTGTTCTATTTAGTTTATTTACTTAGCATGATAAGCTAATTAACTGGTGATATTTTTGTGTTTTTTAAAAAAATTTCTGAACAGGCAGCTTGGGAATGGGTGTTCACACATAGTTAAGTGATTTCTATTCTGGGTTTCTTTTATTTCTTTCAGCATTTTTAAATGCTTCCCTTCAAGTTGTCATTATAGAAATAATGAAAATAGTAAGAGCTGAAAGTGCATTGCATGATGAAATTATCAGGCTCGAAAAGTTAAGAACGTGAGAGAAACACAGCTTTTAAAAGCCTAAAGTGGTTTTCAAAAATTATAAGAAGTTCAATGAATACCAAGATCTAATTGTTTCCACCACTGGCTGAGGGACAAAATGGAAGAGTGAATGGAGTGAATGAAGTGAAAAATTACAGAAGCCGATAAGTAAACCCACTGTAAAAGCTAGGTGGGTGGCGGCTGGTGAGCTCAGTTGGTTAGAGCACAACCTTGTAACACCAAGGTCAAGGGTTCAGTTCCCCACACCCACCAGCCACCAAAAAAAAAAGAAAAAAAAAAAGCTGGGTGGTATGCCATTGTCACAATTATTTAAGTTTGTTTTGAATCACACATGGGAAATATTCAACAGAACTTATATAGTATATGGAGTTGTTATGGATTGGATTAGTAACAAAATTATAATTATTAGCAATATTTTAAAACTAGATTTAAATTAATCTTCATTAATCTATTCTATTGAAAAAAGTTATGGAGACTGTTATACCAATTTGGCTGTTATTTTACTTTTTGTTTTCTTTTTTCTTTCTTTTTTTTTCTTTGGTTTTTGTTTTTTGCTTTGTTCTTATTTTTCTTTTTGTGCTTTTTTTTTTTTCAGGCTGTTATTTTATAATTTATTTTCTTCTACATCACCCTGAGGATGTATGTGGGACTTTAATAAGAAATGCACGTTTTATAGTGTAACCCTTTTAGTAGTTTTCTAATCTGGTTTTGGGGCCCAGTTACTTCATATAGGACTCTAATTGGTTGCCCTAATTTATGCACACACCAAAAATAAGTATAAATCCCAAGGGCTTAAACTCTTGTGAGCCACTTTTGGAGAGTGCTAAAATCACTTGACTAAATCAAGAAAATCAGTTTGGTTAAAATAAATGTAGCTAAATACCTCCAGCATTTAAAACAAATTCTTACAATTTCCCTAAGTGTGATAATAGTAGGTTTTAACTTTCAATTCTAGCCTTTGTAACTTTCAGATAAAAAATATAAAGCAATTACTTAAATGAAATTATAATGACCTTTCAGTTGTTGGAACTGTATTTTTTCTTTTTAAAAGAGGCCATTATTAGAAGATCGCTACTGGTTTAGCGCATGGGTTTACAGGTGACAGTATGATAGCATTTGTGTCACTCTCTGGCCTTACCTTAGTTGTTTCAACATGTCTCTGGGCCTCTTCCAGGACAGAGCCAACAGAATGCACAGCCTGGGGAATCTGACCATTGGGCTGGGCGGTGCCTGCTTTAAGTCCGGAGAGGGAGGAAGAGAAAAAATAAGACATTTTCAACATTCTTGAAAGTTAATCTGGAAATACAATGCACTTTATATCTCTACAGCCAAAGAAAGGGATTCACAGTCATGGTATGGTACATAAGGACTTATGAAAAATCTGAGGTTCTATGGCGATGCTTTATATGAGATTCACCAAGAGATTTGGGAAAGTGAATATTTGATAAAGCCTGCAAAGAAAAATCTGGATTAACAGGAACCCCAGAGAATAGTATGTTCTGTTTTAAAAACCATTAAAAAAAAAAAAAAAAAAAAAACCCTCTTCATACATTTATTATAAGGCAATACCTACTTACTGGTTCTTGAGTCATTACTTTTGACATCAAGCTAAGATACAAACGAAAGGTGAACATAAAGCCCCTGCAATTATTTTATCTTGTTGTTATGGAAACTGGCTGGTATGGGGATCTGAACCCTTGACCTTGGTATTATGACACAGCGCTCTAACCAACTGAGCCAACTGGCCAGCCCTGCAATTATTTTAAATGCTTTAAAAAACTTTTTGGTAATTGGAGAATAAACCTTGAAAGCCTATTTAAAAAAAAAAAATCCCATTGTTGAACATTTTTCTCAAATGTATTTGTCCAGTTTCATACTATGCTGGATACGGAAACAACTTTTGAACATTATCTTTCACAAAAAGTACTTTGGACACAGAAACAGTAAATGGGTAAAATGTGTTGATCCTTGATATACCCTGGAATTAGATTTTTTCCCCCCAAAGTATTGATATACACTTATTTTATTTTTCTGCCTCTTTATTTGTCCTTTTGCCACAAAAGTATGACTTATTGAGGGTTTACACTTTTGAGAGAGTCAGATAGAGGAAGCTGTATGTTGATTTCTCTGGCTCCTTAGAAAGCATTTTGGAGAGTGTGGCCAGCTCTCCACACCTTCAAATAGTTTTTCTATCATTTGAGAAACCCATTCATCTACATAACAACTCAAAGAAGACTGTTAAGGACTTCAGGAGACTGGAAAGAAGGGAAAGTCTGTTGAGGAATAGGACGGTTAGACATAGTCTCAAAGTATCTTTCTACAAACTATTAAGTCCATAATGAAAAATTTCTGGACAATATCTTAACCCAGTGGTCAAAACTGATGTTTGCAATAAGGGGCAGATAGACATGGCTCGCCACTGACTGTGATGTCCTGAGAAGGACACAGCAGCATTCACGTCACATTCCTGCCCAAAATGCATAACCTGAAGTGAATTATGAGGAAACACCGGACACATCCAAAGTGAGCTGTGTTCTGTAATTAAATGGCCCTTATTCTTTATGTCTTGATAGACAAAAAAAAAAAAAGGCTGAGGCACTGTTCTAGATTAAAGGGGACTACAGACACAAGATGACTAAATGCAGTGCATGTTCCCAGACTGAAGCTAGGCCAGGAAAAATACACTGCCATAAAGAACATTATTGGGAACACTTGGCAAAACTAGAATATGGACTGTAGATTGGTTAAAAGTATTCTATCAATATTAAATATTAAATTTCTGGAATTTGAGAACTGTACTCTGGTAAGAGAATCGCCTTGTTTTAGGAAATAAAAACTGAAGATTTAAGAGACAAAGGGGCATGACACATACCATCTACTCTCAAAATGTGTACATGAGTAACATGTCGAAGGGGTTGTGGTGAGAGAGAGAATGACACTGTGACTGCAAGAAAATATTCAATTTTGATGATCGGAGTAAAGGGTACATGAAAGCTCTTTGTACTACTTTTGCAACTTTTCTATAAGTTTGAAATTATTTCAGAATAAGAAGAAAAAAGATCTTAGTCTCCATTTATAACTTTAAAAGAGTCCTGACTAGAAACATTTGCTAAAGTCATACAGTCATTTTATAAGTAATAAAAAAGCCTCCATGGCTGTTCCCTAATAGGAAAGAAAAAATTGCTATTTATTTAGAATGAATTACTTGTTGTTAAACACTTTGGATATTGAGCAATGCATCCAGGTGTTTTCCATTTGTCATCATAGCAGAAACACACTGGTCCCAGCCAGCGACCTTGCACAGCTTCTGCGTGTTTCTCCATGACTCTGGCTCAACTGTGTAAAGAAGGAAAAGGTAGGAGACAAGGAAGGGGAGGGATGGGCCGAAAGGGATTCTCTAGATTGTCAGAGAAAAAATTGCCATTTATTTAGAATGAATTACCTGGGCCCCTTGGATGGACAGAGTCCTCTTAAACACTTTCCAAGACCCCTACTGATTTTGTGTGATGAGTTTGGGAGGAGAGAGGAACTTCGATAATGACATTTGGCAAAAATTGAGTTTTAAAAGATGGTGTCATGTGAAGCAGGTCTTTGTCACTAAGATGCAGTCACAGTCATTGTGTGTGTGTATGTGTGTATGACTGAAAAGAATAAGCTTCAGTTCCTTCTAAGCTCACCTTCAGTTCTTTCCAAGCTAGTCACTGATGTAGCTCTTTAAAGTTTAAAATCCCACACAGCAGGTGCTTGTGGCAATAAATTCTAAGGCGTAAATGGAAAGAAAGCTTAAATTGAGGATTTTTCCCCTTTAGATGTTCACTGAAGCATTTTATTAGTAAGCTGGGAAAGCTCCCAGTATGTTTATTTTAAAATCGCACATTTGTTCTCCATAGGGCTGACACTTGTGACAGGACACAAGAATTTTTGATAAATAAGACTCTACATTAGCATCAACATGGGTTGGTTTACTGTCTACTAAACGATATTCCATCATGTTCAAGATCCCCCTTTTTAATCAATGGGAGTCTCATCAGTCTGCTGCAAGGGTGTTTCCAAAATAAAGTAAATAAATGGTGTTCTTCAAAAATTGATTTTAAGCAATTCACTTAGGAGGCATGAACTAACATTCATTTAGCACTTAGTAGTCAGGGCATTCGCATATATTATTTTATTTCATCCTCAGAGCAGTTCTGCAAGGTGTTAATTCATTTTTTCACTTATTGTCCCAACTGTCTCTGAATTCTAACTGAGCCCCTATTATCTGCCAGACATTGTTCTCAGTGCTGGGGAGACCATGATTCACAAGACACTGTCCCTGACCTCATGATGTATCGTGTAAGTCTTGAGGAGGAAACGGACACTAAACTTATGGTCACACAGGTTATTAATGACAACGGGCCTACTGAGGACAATTAATTTGAGACCTGAAGATAGATAGGAATTAGCCACATGAAAGAGGGGACATCATGAAAAGAAGGAAGAGCATCTGTGGAGTCCCTGAGGAAGGACGATGCCTGGAGCTTTGAGAACTGGGGCAAAACCACAGGCCCATATGGCAGGAGCAGGAGGGCTGGGGTGGGGAAACAGGCAGGAGTAATGGGCAAAGCTCATACTATGCAGGCTTTGTAGGCCTTGCTGAGATTTGGGACGTTATCTGAGGGTGCTGGGAAGCCTCGTAAGTGCTTTAGGTAGGAGAGAGAAGTCAGATTTACATTTAAAAAGGTGACTCATGCGGGCAGGCCTTGGCTCACTTGGGAGAGCGTGGTGCTGACAACACCAAGTTAAGGGTTAAGATCCCCTCACTGGTCATTTTTTTTTTTTTTTTTTTTTAAAGGTGACTCCTGGAGGGCGAGATGCCTGCAAATGCAGGGAGCTGAATGGGAACAATACCACATCAAGCCAAGAGAAGAGGCGTGGAGGCTTGGATTCTAGGGCAATGGAGACGAGCATGACAGATCTGACCGGTAGTTAGAGGCAGAATCAACACGAATTGGGAGTGACTGGATTCGGGGGGTGAGTGAGCTTCTCTTGCGTGTTTTCTGCATGAGCAGTTGGGCAGATGGTGATGTTATTGTGGACACAAAGATCAACGTGGTGGAGCCAGTCTGGAGGGTAAGATGATGAGTTTTACAGACACTGAGTGTGAGGTGTGAGTGTTCACCCAAGTGAAGCTGCAGAGCGGACAGCTGGATACACGGGCGTGGAGGTGGGCAAGGAAGCCTGGATCGGACTGATAGGTTTCCAGGTGGTCAGCACGTAGATGGTGCTGGGGGTGGATTCCACCACTTAGGCAGATAGTATAGAATGAGAAAAGGGTTAGGGTTGACTGGGCCCTGGGTAGTGTAAAGTGGCGTAGAAGAAGGGTTAGTAGTGGAGGCTCAGAAAGAGTGGCCCGAGATGTTGGTGGTGAGATGGGGGACCTGGAATGTGTGCTGTCTTGAAAGCCAGTACTGGAGATTGTTTCAAGGAGGGAGTTGCCGATTGTGTTAATGTTGCTAAAGGTCATATAGGAAGTGGGGTTTATAATAGCTGGACTTAGCAACATAGAGGCCACTGGTGAGATCAGCAAGAGCATTCACCATGGGGTAACAGAGGCACAGGACAGCAAATGTGGTCTACCATTCAGAATAGTTTGGTTTTGAGATGGGGCAATAGATGGAGGGAGATGTGGGGTCCTAGGAGGGTTTTTGAAATTTATTTATTCATAGAAGGCAGCAATGTTGATTGGAAGTGTCTGGATTTCGTCCTGGACTCCTGGCACAGAACTTCCAAAACCTTTGGCATTTTCCATATTATATGAACATCTTTGTTATTCACGAACTCCTTGGATCACACCTGAGTTTATGGTCACAAGATGGCTTGGGATGGGGGTTGGTTACCAGAAAGACCCAAGGGTTAGGGCTTTGAGCCAACCCTACCTCTGGGGAAGGATGGGGGGCTGGAGATTGAATTCAATCACATGGCCAATGATTCAATCAATCACACCTATGAAATGAAATCGTGATAAAAACTCTGGACACTGAAGCTTGGACCTTCCTGGTTGGTGAACACAGTGATGTGCCAGGAGGGTAAAACTCCTAATTCCGAGGGAGAGGATGTGGAAGCTCTGCTTCTGGGACCCTCCCAGATTTCACCCTGTGAGTCTCTTCATTTGGCTGGTCCTGATTTGTATCCTTTATAATAAAACTAATCATACCTATGGCACTTTCCTGAGTCCTGTGAGTCATTCTAGTGAATTGCCGAAGCTGAGGGGGGTGGTGGGAACTCCCAAATTTATAGTCGGTAGCTCAGAAGTGTGAATGGCCTGGGGACCTTCAAAGTGTGCTGGCATCCAGAGTAATGGCAGCCTTGTTGTGCCTTTAACTTGTGGAGTCTGATGCTAACTCCAGATGGTCAGCATCAGAGCTGTACTGCAGTGCACTGGCGGGTGTCAGAACAGGGGACCAGAGCATGCATGCAAGAATAGGCCTTGTTAGGAGGTAACATAAGTGATGCAGGCTAGGAGAGGTGCAGGTGCAGGTAAGTTGTTGGGCTAGTGATGGGAAGTTCAAGGAATTCCATTTTCTCTGCTGAGAGTAAAAGCGTTGGGGGTTGGAAGTCTGAGGAGACTGAAGTATCTCTGAAACCATTATTAGGGAAACTGGGAGATTATATTGATTGGAACAGCCTTTCTTACCATTATTGATATTTGGGCCTGGAAAATTCTTTGTTGTATGTAGCCAGTATCCCTAGCTTCTACCCATTATATGACACTAGTGCCCGCTGAGGGGTGTGACAACCAAATATGTCTTCAGACATTGCCAGATGTCTCCTGGGGATCAAAGTCACCCCTGCTTGAGAACCATTGGACTACAGAAACATAGTAAGATTGATGGGCAGCACTAAGGTCCCACTTATGATCGATGTGCACAAATTTGTGGTAGAATCAATGTGTCTACTGTACGTAGAACCTTTCAAGAGGAAAGGATTTCTCAAACCCTCTCCCCACCCTAAAGAAGCCTTGCTCCTTCCACCTTCTCCTTTTCCCACCCTCCAGACTTCCTAGTTCAGCAGTGAGCAGAGTCACTGTGGGCCAAAGGCAGGCCCAGCCATTTGGTTCTCTTCCTCTCCTTTCTTCCATCTCCCCACCCCCCGTTCTTTGTTTTCTTCCTCTTTTTCTTTAAATCACTGGTGCTATAGTTGCATCTGGCTGGGGCTGGTGTTAAGACTGAGACTTAGGGGAGAGAGATGTTCATTTCAGTCTTTAAGTTAAGCTGCATGCTCTAGCTCACTCTACCAGAGAGCCTTGATATGGGAGTTATGGACACTAACCCACCTAATCATAATCTAGAACTCCATTTGCCATGGTTCCTTGTGGATATACCTCTTTCTCTTGGGAGATTCACATGAAGGGTTCCTTGCATATGAATGTTTCTCTTGGGAAATTCACATGTGGCGGGATATGGGATCCGTGTGTGCCCTATCATAACAGCATCTCACAGCATTCCCAAATCTGCGATGACCTCTAACGGAGCCGAGGCCCTGGCAAGAAAGGTGCTCTGTTTCCACCCCAAGTGGGTGGCCTACAATTCAATTCTGACACTAACCTCTCAGAGTTAGCATCAGACTTCACAGGTTTAAGGGGGGTCTGAGACAGACCTATCTGAGACAGACCCCCCTTCAGATGCCAGCCACAAACAGGGTCCCCAGGCCTCCCACACTTCTGACCAGCCCTCTACAAATTCAGGGGTTCCTATGACCCTTCAGGTTCAATAACTTGCTAGAATGACCCACAGAACTCGTGAAAGCACTATACTTATGATTTGGAGCTCCCCCCAAATCAGAGAACTTAGGACCTTACAGTTCTTGACTGGGTAAGACTGTGTCTGTCAGTGCCAATCAGTTGACACAGATGTCCCTGAAAATTAGGTTGTTAAGGTAACAAAACATGAATCGAACTTAAATATGATTCTGAATTTTTTCCCCCCTGGACATGAAACTGTGTCTATGTGACAATGAATGTCCTTTTACTCTGGGCCAAGTAAGCTCTCAACTGGACGGGTGACGTGCGCACCCAATCCTAAATCTAAAAGTTCTGTTTCTGTAGAATGTGTTGGATAAGTTTGGAACATGAGCTCCAAGCTTTGAACATGTGTCTGCATTTCTCCTGTGCTTAGTACCTGCAGAAGGCTGAGCTGGAGTAGCTGCGCCGGCAGTCCCCAGGTTTGTCCACCGAGAGGCAAGCCCGGCCCTTGCCATAGCCCGCTGGTAGTTCTCATAGAGAGTCTTTCCATACTAGGGAGTACAAAGGAAGAAAAAAAGGAATCCATTTATCCCAAATTCTGCACTCAGTTGCAATATATACCATGAGGAAAAAAAGTAAACCTGTGACTATTCTTTTCACTGTTTGCCCAAGATGTTTTTTTGTGTAGTATTTCAATAATAATGTCATAAGCTGTTTTTTCACTAATTAAATAATTTTCCAGATTAGCAGACTCAGTTAATACTTTCACCTACATCTTAGAGGAGAGCATGTTAGCCACCCAGTTCTGATTCCATGTGCCTTTACGTTTTCTACTGTAGATGCCATCTTGTATTTCTTTCTTTTTTGCTTTCAGCATCTGAGCACAGGGGATACATTGTGTTTCTTAAATGCACATGCTAAGCTTGCAAAACTCTGCAGGAGTAAACACATGAGAAGTCTATGTGAAAGTCCACCCTTGATTCTCAGGTTGCTAGAGGGGTCCATGTTTCTATCACTTCCATCTATTTTAAAACTCCCAAAGGGCAAATAAACAAAATAATGCCTGTGGCTGTACCCAACAGTGGGTCAACTGTTTCACGGTAGCACAAAAGCTGGACCCAAGTCTGGAAGCTGGTTGACAAGTTCAAGGTGGGGTGACGTGCAAATTCTCTCCTACCTTGGCGATCCTTATTCCCATGACCCACTGGTTGAGAGTTCTTGCGTCATCACAGCAGAGATACTTGATGTACTGGGACTCCTTCTGAATTTGGGGATGCTACAAAGAAGCAGTTGTGAGGACAATTTATGAACTCTTCATTTATTAGGAGCTCAAAGCACCTTTCAAAATATTAATAATAACCCCCCCCCAAACTCTAACCATATATGTAATTTACCAATGTGGTGGCAAAAATTACTGGTAGCAATTTTAGGATTAGCATTGATGGATGACTGGATAAGGAAAATGTGATGTATACATACAATGGAATACTACTCAGTCATAAAAAAGAATGAAATTCTGCCATTTGCAGCAATGCGGATGAGCTTGGAGAAAATTATGTTAAGTCAAATAAGCCAGGTACAGAAAGAGAAATACTGCATATCCTCATTTATAAGTGGAAGCTAAAAAGTAAATAAAGAGAAAGAAAGAAACAACAATCACAATAATATGTTGAACTTTCAGAAGGAGAGAACAGAACTGTCATTACTACAGGTGCGAAAGTGGGATGGGGGGTTAGTAAGACATTGGTCAATGGACACAAAGAATGATTACGTTTTGTAATGATGAATATACTAATTATCCTGATTTGATCATCACATATTGTATACAAGTATTGACAGTAAACTCTGTACCCCACAAATATGTATAATCAATTGTTTCAATAAAAAAAATTTAGGATTAGCAAGAAGGATACTTTTTTAAATGGCTAAATTTTGAAAGGATTTAAGGAAATCTGTAATATAATTTATCATAAGTACTTCTTAGCATATTATCAATAATAATTTTCATTTCTGCATTTTTAACTTTTGAAAACCTTCACCTCTGTCGTGTCTCTACCCCCAAAGAAATCTGAGTTGCTCCGCCATTTGTCAGATAAGGGAATCTACCCATTATAATTCTTATGTCACAGAATTAATGCCTACAAGAATTGTGATTTTGTAACCCCAAAACCTACACTTAGGGTTATTTCTGCTACAAGGAATTCAGAGTTTCACGATGATCTGTCTTTCTTAACTGCTCTTATCTAAATGGGCCAATGGCCTAGAGGTGAATGGCCTGGAGAAAAAATATTTTTGTCTATTCTCAGTGGCTTGGAGTGCTGAACAGGGCCTTTGGAGAGCTCACGGAGAGAAAAAGGATATGCACAGGTGCAAAGGACAAACAGAGACACTCTGTACTCCTCTTTCTTAATCCTCGTTGCTCTTGTAATTTGTTTTATGTTTCTGTCTCTGATAGATTGTGTCTTCCATGAGGCTGGGAAGTATGTCTTATTCCCTATTGAAGACTCCCAGTGCTTAGTGCCTGGCCAAGAGCATGGTAAGTATTCCAGTCCAGATGTCATAATCATTGTTGAAGGAAATAAACAAGCACAACATTTCCTGTTTAGTTTTTAGTCTTGCAGCCATGAGGTGAGGGGCAGGCAACCAGACCCAGGTTCTAAGATATGTGTATGTGAACTTCCATGGATCATTACAACTTTTAATAAACTTTATAGGAAAATAATTAACTACAACCATCGTGTGTGTGTGTGTGTGTGTGTGTGTGTGTGTGTGTGTGTATACCCCCTTTTTCTTCTTCCTCCATTCCTCAGAGGAGTTCATTAATCCTGCTAGGATAACCATAACTTGGTGGTGGTACTGAAATGAAATGGAAGGTGAAGAGAGCTGAAGGAGCCATCTACTCTTCAGTGGGCAGGACAGGGGTGAAGCTGTCCAGTTCCTCTCTTAGGGTACTGCATGGACCTCTCTACTCCACTTTTGCTTTCAGCTGACTCACTGACCTTGAAGGGAATGGCTTTCTAAAGTTGATCTAAGCAAAGGGTGTCGTGTTTTTATTTTTTTTATTTTTTGTCTTTTTGTCTTTTTCCGTGTCCGGCAACGGATCGCAACCCTCAGTGTTGCCCCCATACCGGACCGGGGACCGGCAACGGGATCGCAACCCTCGGCGCTGCCCCCGCGCCTCGCTCAGCCAGTGAGCGGGAACCGGTCTGTATGTGGGATCCGAACCCTCGGGCGGGAGCGCCGCCGCACTTCCCAAGCGGCGCACCTATCCAGTGCGCCACCGGGCCGGCCCGGGTGTCATGTTTTTAAACTTCAGGTGGAATCCGAGAGGCAGTGTCTGGACTAGTCACCCTGCTGGTCTTTCTAATGACCCAGCCAGCAAGAGTCTACGGTATCATTGTCTTTGCCCAGAAAGGATAACAAGACACTTATACACTCTAAGAGCTTGGTGAAAGTTTAGTGTAAGTTTTTGGTTTTGCAAATCAGAAAAGTGAGGCTCAGAGAGGTTACTATATATTCTACTCTATAACCTAATAGATAGAATCTTAGGGTCTCTTCACTTACCACCTAGAATTTCCATATTTATATTAAGCTGTTGAGCCCAAATCCCAGACTTTAAAGATAACCAGAGAAAAAACTCAGAAATTACAAAGAATTCCTCTTTGGGGGCTTTTGAGCCAACTGAGGAAAGTCTACTCCTATACTGTTATCTTTAAATAGACTGCTTCCTTTATTTAGGTCCTTCAGCACTCAGAACCTGCATCTGCATTGCTTGAGGGAGGGTCAGTTCAGTTCTTATTTGCCACATTGGGCTCCTGCATGTTGCTGTAGTTTTCCTGACTGGCCGGCAGGTGACAGCAAACACTTTTGAATGGCTGCTGCACATTTCATTGTTACTGCAGTCTGATGCTTATGCATTAATTCTGCATGTTAGATTTTATTTTTGCTAGATTTTTTATTTTTGTAAATCTCTATCAGTTCAAGTAATGTGACCCCAATAGCAAAAAGGATTTGTTGCATTAATTAACCTGAAGATCATATAGATGAAAAATACACTAAGCCAAGCACTTATTGGATGGAATGTGACATTCCACGTGTGCCTGCAGCAGTCCCTTCAGCAATCAAATTTGCAACGCCAAACCAAAGCCCTTGTCTTTCAGTACCAGAAACAGGGCATGCATTGGTCTCTTCAGCGATTTAATGTTTATAATTGTTCTTAGAAAGCAGCTTTTTTTTTTTTTTTCTGAGACATCAAAAAAGTTGACATCATTACTTGGGCATCATATGTTAAATTTTTTGTTTGTTTGCTTTTGTTTTGTGGTGCATGTCACATGAGAGCCAAGTTTCCTGGAGCAGACTATAAATCTCACTGTGCTTGTAACAGAATGCACAAAGCAACTGTTTGTATAGAGGTATCCATTTAAGCAGCACGATGAACAATTTCATTCAAAAATAGCAAAATGTGGTCATTCCCTTACATAAAATGGCTTTTGAACATAAAACAGAGGAAAGAACTCTTGAACTTGAGTTCTAACAGTAGCTCCTCCTAAGTCAATGAGGTAGGTGTTAGACCTTCATTCTCTCCAGCATTCCTGGGGCCAGTCTCACCAACTCCCTTACACTACATGGGAAGGAACTGAGAAGATGCTTAAGTGCAGAATGAACCGTAAAACTACTAGAAGCAAACATGGGGGAAAATCTGCGTGACATTGGTCTGAGCAATGATTTTTTTTAGCTTTGACCCCAGAAGCGCAGGTAACAAAGGCAAAGATAAACATGGGATTACATCAAAATAAAAAGCTTCTGAACATCAAGGAAATGATTAACAGAGTGAAGAAAAAACCTGTGGATTAGGAAAAAATATTTTCAAGCCATACATCTGATAGGGATTAATATTCAAAATATATAAGGAACTCAAAACAACTCTATAAAAAGCAAACAAATAATCTGATTAAGAAATGGGCAAGGGACCTGAACAGACATTTGTCAAAAGAAGACATACAATGGCTAACAGATAGTGAAAAAACATCATTAATCATTAGGGAAATGCAAATCAAAACCACAATGAGATATCATCTCACGCCTGTTAGAACAGCGATTACCAAAAAGACAAAAGATAACTAGTGCTGACAAGAATGTAGAGAAAAGGGAACCCTCCTACCTGTTGGTGAAAATGCAAATTAGTACATTTCATTGCAACACTATTCACAACAGCGAAGTTATGGACTCAACCTAAGTGTCCATCAAGAGATGAATGGATAAAGAAAATGTGGCATGTACACACAAAGGGACGCTCTTCAGCCTTAGAAAAAGGAAGAAATCTGTCATTTGCGACAACATGGCTTGGATAGAATTGGAGAACATGATGCTAAGTGAAATAAGCAAACACATAAAGACAAATACCACATGTTCTCACTTACAATTGGAATCTATAACAGTTGAACTCATGGAAGCAGAGTAGACAGGTGGTTACAGAGGCTGGGAGTGGAGAAATGGGGAGGTGATAGTTAAAGGGTAAAAAATCTCAATTAGACAGGAGGAATAAGTTTGATTTTTTTTCTTTTTTTCCCTTTGAGATCAATTACACAGCATGGTGAATATAGCTAATAATAATCACTGTACACTTAAATTTTGCTAGGATGCTGCCGCCCTGTGGTCAGCTGCAGGGGCAAGATGCGATGGGAGGAACTGGGTTGATGTTGGATTTTTTTTTTACTCCATAAACCGGTGATTTCTTTAAAAGCTAAGAAAAATAAATTTTTCAAAGACAGTAAATTTCAAATGTTTTTATCACAACATTGTTAAATATTTGAGGTAATGGATAGGTTAATTAGCTTGATTTAACCATTCCACATTGTGTTCAAAAATCATAATATCACTTCGTACCCCATAAATATATGCATCTATAATTTGTCAATAAAAAAAGGTAAAGAAATGAGTAGAGTGACTGCATTAAAAAAAACTGGCTTGAGAACAGAACTGAGCGTCGTCCTGTGAGTAAAGGAAATGCAGTTTCTGCTAGTGTTGCTCGTGACTCTTGTTCCCTGATCCACCGGGCTCTGCGGGCTCCCCACCTCTAGCCCCCTCTTCGGAGGGGTCCCTGCCTTTCTCCTGCATACTTGGGCTTTGGATAGGGTGGGCTTTAAAGTTCTAGTTCAAGACCCTGGAACTCAGCATTGCTGTTCTTGGTGCAGCCCAGGATAACCTCGTGTCCTAGGTCAGAGAATTCAATTCCTGCCATGATTCAAGGACCTCAGCCTGAGAAAGTGAGTCCCTGCCCTGTTCACTGTGTTTAAATCCCTATCCTGGGAACCTCTAGTCTGAGACCCTCTCTCTCTCCTCCCAGACATCCCTGCTCCAGCCTCTGGACCCTTACCTTGGAGTCTGGCCCTCGCTCCCGTCTCACAGATTTCCATTCTATCTGCTCACTCTGAAAGGTATTTCATCACCAGCTAAGCTCCGACTATTGATGTTTAGAGTTCGGATGCATTCTAATACTCTGAGTGCAAACCATGACTGTGCTTGGGAAAAATAAAGATTCCTTGGCCCCATCTTTAAATGTTTTGATTCAGTGGGTTCAGGATCTGGGAACCTGGATTTTTAACCAGCCCCCAGTGATTGTGATTCAACCAGTTTACTGAGCAGCATTTCAGAAACGTTCTCCAAAATCTTCTCCTTATTTAAGAAATGTGGACAACACTTCAGTGATGAAGCATGTTGGAAGGACCAGGTGGAAATCAGGACCTCCATTCTGGTCATTTCTCAGGGTCTTAGGATTCCAAACAAGGGCCACAGGGAAGACATGGTTCAAGGGTGGGTGGCAGTGGGGGAGGGGCAGGGTGGTAGAAGATGCTTTGTGTCCACATCTATGGTGGCCTAGCAACCAGTGTCTGAGGGGGATGGCCTCTGAGCCACTCTGCCTGGGTTGTCACCCTGCCTTGGCCATTTCCTGGCTGGGGAGTCTGTGTGTGCAGGTTTGCCATTATTTTTATCATCCTTCCAATACCAGGAACAGACAAAGAGGTACAGGAACCAGAAGCAGGCAGGCCATTCTTCTTGCCTCTCTCTTCCTTCTGACCCAAACAGACCCTCACCTCAGGACCTTTGCACTTCCTGCTCTTATTTCTGGAATGCTCTTCTTCCAGGTAATTCTCACTCCCTCACTTCATTCGCGTCTTTTGACAAATGTCACTCCCTTGCAGAGCCTCTCTCTGACTGCCTCACCCAAAGAAGGCTTGGCACCAGCCCTGGCATGCTCCGTCCCTACCCTGCCTCACAGTGATCCACAGTCTTATTATTACCTGACATCACATGAGGACAGGGATTATTCTATGTTTTGTTCACTTCTGTATTGCCAGCACCTGGCACAGTGCTTAGCAGATAGTTGTCATTCCACAAGTATGAAATGCATGAGTGAATGAATGAGTGACTAAATCCAGTCCTCTCCCTTCCTTCGGTCCCTTCCCAGCCATTATTCTGGGGTTATTTTGTCTAGGGCCGGGTTTCTTGACAGTAGCACTGTCGACATCTGGAGCCAGATGACTCCCTGTTGTGGGAGATGTCTTGTGCCTTGCAGGATATTTAGCAGCAGATCCGGCCTCTACCTACTAGATGCCAGTAGTCCTTGCTCCCTGCCCCAAGTTATGACAATCAAAAATGTCTCTAGAAGCTGGAGTGGTGGAGGGCCTCGGGCCTTGGCCATGCCCCCCCAACACTTGCAACTAGCCCAGCAACGACCACCAAGCCGCAGCAAGAAGTGCTCTGGGCTCCTGAGCTGGGATGGTGTGGGGGCGAGGGCTTTAGCCACACACCCCTGACATCTGCGCCCAGCCCAGCAATGACCAAGCCACTGCTGGAAGTCCCCTGGTCTCCCCTGCAGGGATGAGTGGGGGTGCTACAGGTTTCAACCCTGCCCCTCTTCCTTCCTGCTTCTTCAATCCCATTTCCTTCCCCTTCCCTCTCCCCTCCCCCAACTGCTCTGCAACATCACAGAATGAAAAAAAAATATTAATAAATAAACTTAAAACAAACAAACATAAAAATGTCTCTGGACATTGCCAAATGTCCCCCGGGGGGCAAAATATCTCTGGTTTTGAGAACCACTGAAAGAGTGTCAGGCTGACTGAGCTAATATAGTGGTTATCATTATTAATATTTATAAATAACTAAAAGTGGATACTCTGTAATGAAAAAGAGTACTAGGATGTATAAATAAAAACCACGCAATATCCTGAGTCCTCAATGAAGCCAATAATTTTAACCAATTATTGATGATTGCAACATGTAATAGTAATTGTGCAGGGAGTCAAAATTATTAAATATGATTTGGCCTAGGTATTGTATTTGACTAAGAACAAACCGAAGTCATAGTCCTGAACCCAGACCTCTGTAGACATGCAGAAAGACCCTCAACACATCACATGGATGGTTATAATATAACTCATCAATTGATCTGACTGATCTGAAATTTTAATTTTAAAAAATGTAAACCATATCAAACACCTGATAATATATAGTGCCTTTTTACAATACACACCTTAAAAAGTTTCATGACCTAGTAATTTTTTAAAAGATTTTTTTGCCACTTTCTATCTCTTTTCCAGAAAATCTTGGCAAGTGCCTCACTTCTCAAAACTTCTTATAATGGAATGGGTCCAGTTAAGAACTGAAAACTTTTCTCAGTTGTATGAATAACATTGTAAACTACTTAGTTCAAAGTGTGGAACTTTTATTTTTCAGAAGTGGTGATGAACTCCAGACAGATTTACATTAAAGTCTTATGCTCAGATAGCAGGCATTTCAGGAAATGACCCAAACCGGTAGAAATGTTTCCCTTTTCCTATTTTGGTTTAAAAATAAAAATTTCATTATGTCACACTTTAATTAAATATATAACATTTTAACATTTTTCCCCCTTAAAAGAAAATATTAACTCACACTTCTTACAAATCTAAATCAAGGACTCCTGACAACGTACCTTTAAAACAAAGCAGTGGTCTGTGGGCGCCTTATATTTCATTCTGCACTGAGTCCCGTAGTAAATGTTGACATTCTCAAACTGTATAAAACACGCCAGGTCTCGAGATGTCTGAAAGAGAGGGAGAAAAGTAACCTCAACTGAGGTGACAGTAATTTTCCAATGTAGTTCTTGATGTGGGTTACATTAAGGATTACATCAGTAGAGAAAATATTGGATTTTAGGTAATTTATATAAACATCGACCATATGTAGTTTTCTCAAAGCCATGCCTGCATTTCAAGGGGTGAAGGAAAGAATGCAGTCGAGGCACAATAGCGTGTCGCAGGCCCAGAAATGGGGCAAAAGATTAAAGACGAAGGATTAAGACGACGCTGTTGATCTCGGGCCTGCCGGCGGACTCCCAGAGTCAGAGTGGACCGACCTTGAGACGTCGTGATCGAGGCAGTCAAGACAAGGTGACCACCTAGCCGCAAATTTCATTCTGCCTTTTTTCATTCTAAGTCAGTGATGGATTTTGTGATGGAGCATGAAAAACAAAGCCCCCTTCAGGATGCACAATGAGAGGTCAATTTGAGGCTTGGTTAATTAGCACGCATTTCATGCACTTCTTCCTGAGAAAAAGGATGTCTTTCATGTTTTCTCTTTACTGCTGGCGGTGTTGCCTTGGAAACAGAGACCACTCCTCCGTGGATGACATGCCTCCTGACAGCTGCAGCCTCTAATCTACATATGTGCTTACACTTCAGTTACAAATTTGTTCCGTTATTCTTTTTCTTTTGCATTAAGGAGTAAAGAATAAAAGGCAGAACTTCTAATGCACAATTCTTCCCTTTTATATATGGCTGTACATTTTTTTCTTATAAGACATTTTCTTTTGGATTTTTAAAGTTTTGTTTTTTAATTGCAAAAAATAATGCATATTTGGCATAATTAAAAAAATATATAAAATAAAATGCACATCTTCTTTTATCACCCCCTTTTAAAAAAATTCCACTCTTCTCTCCAGAGGTGCCATAGTTAATAGTTTGGTGGCATTCTTCCAAATGTTTTTAGGTAAACATTTATTACATATGTATGAGTAGACATACTTACTTACGTACATACATATACTTAAGACATACACAATTTTTAAAACATGAATGAGATTTTACTATACATATTGTTCCATGACTTGTTCTTTTTCTTAACATTGTAACTTGGGATCTTTGTATGTCAGGACACATGAATGAATACATGATATTCACTTTACCGCTGCACAGCCAACCACTGTACAGGTGGAACAATTTATTTAACTACTTTACTATAGATGATTAGAGGTTATTTCAATATTTTGCAGTGACAAAAACTCCTGCGTGCATGAGCGAATATTTCTTTTTATTTTTTTTCCTTTTTGTCTTTTTTCGTGACCGGCAACGGATTGCAACCCTCAGTGTTGCGCCCGTACTGGACCGGGACCGGCTACGGGATTGCAACCCTCGGTGTTGCACCCGCACCTCACTCAGCCAGTGAGCGGCCGGTCTGTATGTGGGATCCGAACCCTCGGCGGGAGCGCCGCCACGCTCCCAAGCGGCGCACTGTAGCAGTGTGCCACCGGGCTGGCCCATGAGCGAATATTTCTGTGGGACAAATTGCCAAATGTGGAGCTGCCATCTGAAAGGGCATTCCTTTTTATATTTGCATAGATCTCACTCACCTGTCCCAAACTTCCATACAGGAGAGTGCCCGTTCTTCTTATCCACTTCTGCCAAATGTGGATATTATCAAAGTTGTTTATTTCATCAGTTTCACAGAGAAAATATTTCACTGTTTAATTTACATTTCCCTGATTACTAGTAAGATAGAACAACTTTTATTCAGTGGCCACTGGCTTTTTGTTTTTTTCCTGTGAATTCTCACTATTGCTATGAGCATGCTTATCTTTTTCTTATTGATTTGTTGGAGTGTTTATATTCTGTGAATACTCGTACTTTTTATTTATTTATTTTTGGCAGCTGCTTGGTAGGGATCCAAACCTGTGACCTTGGTGCTATAAGGCCATACTCTAACCAACTAAGCTAACCGGCCAGCCCAAGGATACTCGTACTTAATTGTACATGTTGTAAGTGTACTCTCTGACTCTGTAGCTAGCCTTTAATATCCTGTTTGGTATCTTTGGCCATAAGGCAGTAAAAACAACTTTAACCAGTCAAATCTGTCAATTTTCTCCTTTATAATTTTGAGTTTTAATTCTTGCTTAAGGAGGTTTTTCCCACCCCCAAACTATGAAAATATTAACCTACATTCTCTACTGTGATTTTATACTTTATTTTCTTAAAGATATTTTAATCAATCTAGGGTTTTAATTGGTACATGGAATGAGGCAGGAAACTATTTTTTTCCAAATGGCTATATAATTATTTTAATGCTATTTATCAGATACCACATTCTTTCTCCCTGCTGTAAAATGCTAACTTTAATTTTGCTTATATTAGATGGTTCTCTGCTGGTCTGTCCTTACCCGTACTATTTTTTTTTCTTTCTTTTTTTCTCTTTTTTTGGCATCTGGCCAGTGCAGAGATCTGAACCCTTGACCTTGGTGTTTTATTACTGCCCACTTTGACCAATTGAGTAAACGGGCCAGCCCTCTGTACTGTTTTTATCTAACGTTTTGACAACTGGGAGGAAGAATTCTACCTCAATGTTCTTTACAATTTTAGGGGGATCTATTTTGGAACAGAGTCTCTTTCCGATAGAGTTTAGAATCAGTCTGTGAACGTCAAGTAAAAAAAAAAATCCTATTAAAGTTTTTATTGAAATTGCATTCAATTGGTAGGAAAATTTGGGAAGAACTAGTATCTTTTCATCTCAACATAGTACATTTCTATGTGTTTAGTTAACTTCTTTTGTTAAATTTTATATTTCATGCCATCTAGGTCTTAAACACCTCATTAAATTTATTGTTAGGTATTTTGTGTTTTTTGTTCCTACTATATATGGAGTCTATGGCATTATATTTTAATTTGCATATTGTTTGCATAAAGGAAAACTATTTCTTATTTGGTACATTTCTTTGGTCCTAACAGTCTTTCAGCTGAGTGTCTTATACTGTTTTGTAGACAATCCTGGTAACTATGAATAATGAAAGTCTGTGCCTCTTCTTTTCCAATAATTATACTTATTCTTTTCATTCCCTTACTGGCTAATTCCTCCATCCCAACGTTAATGGTAGCAGTGAGAGAAGGTATCCTTGTCTAACTTGAACACTTTTAATTTTCATCACTTAATGTATTGTTTCTTATAAGTTTATGTATATGTCTCACTTATATTTAAATGCCCAAGACATAACATTTCTAAAATAAAACAAATTATGTGGGTCAACTGTGAAGTCCTGTAGTGGACTGATTTATGTCCCCCCAAAACTCACTGAAGCTTGAATTGTGTCCCCCAAGTTTTATGTATGAGAAACTTAGCCCCCACTGTGACTGTTAAGAGGGTGGGAAATCCTATTATGGTGATTGAAAGGTGGAGCCTTGAAGAGGTGATTGGATTGCAGGACTGTGCAGTAGGGAATGGATTGATATGGTGGTCAGGGTGTGGTTCTGAGGGCTTTAAAAGAAGAGGTGAGTCTGTCTTGCTCTCTCTCTGCTCTCTCTGCTTCCACCACCTTGCAATGTGAGGCCCCTGGGCCACTGTCGCCACCACCAGATGGACTTTGGACTTCCCAGCCTCAGAAGCTGTAAGCAATAAATTTCATTTTCTTTATAAATCACCCAGTTTCAAGTATTTTGTTATAAGCAATGGAAATGGACTAATACAGTTCCCCAGTATGGGACTGGAATGGAGATGGCACAGGTGGGGAAGTTTCAGTTCTAAGATGGAGACCAGAGTAAAAGAGGCTCAGCAGAGCAGTGGCTGCCCTGGACCAGCAGTTTCCCATAATGCCCCTCCTGCATCGCCACCGTGAGAATCCAGTCCCCTTCCTAGAGGGAGCAGACCTGGACATTCACCATCACTTCATCTGCTTGGAAATGGGGGTTAAGGCTTATCTGAGGAAGCTTGTAATCCATAAATATGCCATTTGTTGGCACCTTGGATTTGAAAGTGAAGGCCAGATACAGATAAGAGATATATCCTAAAGCTCTTTAAAGGTGAACAAAAGATTGAAATGTCCTAAACCTGGAAGAAAGGTCTTAGAAAAAGCTAATGGTCAGAATGTAAGTTAAAATTGCATTTCACAGAGCTTACTATATGCTTACAGAGTTGAAGTAATAATCCCAAATCACTGTAGAAGTTAAATGATGTCTAAAACGCTCTGCTAAATTAGGCAGGGAAATGAATATAGTATACTTCAGAAAGCAACTTAAATATTTAAAGAATAAGGGCTAAAATCTCAATGAAAATCTTATCAAGGCTTCTAATATCTCTCTGAGTCCAGATAAAAGAAGTTGTACTACAATGACTACAGAACAAGTGAGTAAATACAGGAGGGAAAAAAAGCCATCAGAAATAGACATGTAAAGCAAGAACGAAAAAACTCTAGAAAAGCACTTCTGCCAGAATTTTTTGAAACCTGACTGAAATAGATAAAATTCTTTTACCTTCAAGGAAGAACTATGGAAAAACTCAAAAGGCTTTCAGGAATTCCGTCCTAATAGAGAACGTACTTACATAAATGTTGTAGACATGGATTCCACCACACACAGAATGTATTTAAATCATCACCTAGGATTTCTTTAGTTTTCACTTTCATGAAATGCTTTATTGCTAAAGCACTTTTGTTTTGTTTTGTTTTCTTTCTGACCTTAGTCTTTCCTTTGGGTACATAATAAATTCCAGAAGCCCGTAAAAGAAAATAGCGCTTTTTCCAGGTTTTCTTTCCATCTTCTTTCAAATAAAGAGCTCCTTCTAGTTCTGGTACAATGACAGATGTCCCACAGAAACTTTCCTGAAAGTGAGATTTCCATGACATAAAACACACGTAAGATAAAATACACATTCTTATTCACATTTAAACACACTGGCAAAATGGCCTTTGAGCTAAGTCAATTTTGTTTACAACTCTGGTTCAATGCATATGTTTACTTTATATGCTATTTGCCAAAAGAAAGGAAGACTAATACAGCGGTCAAGAGTCTTGGCTCCTGAGTTAGACCTTAAGGCTTCCTGACCACATAGCTCTGTGACGTTGGGACATTAAAGCTCTGTTCTCTTACTTGCAAAAATGGAATAATAATAGCCCAACTTCATAAAGTAGGTCATGAGTGCAATCTTGATATATTGTAAAAGTAAGCACTTAATAAAGGCTATTACTGTTATAAATTGGAAAATAGAAAAATTATTTCTTGGCAAGTCAAAAGCTAGTATTTCACTGCTGGTAAATAGAAAAATTATAACATGTAATTCTACACTTAAAATAAATTAATATTTTGTTCTTGGGATAGTTGTCTTTTCAAAGAATGAAGACTGCAGTTATTATTGATATCTGATATATAATATCTGATATTATATATCAGAAAAAATAATAAAGCACATTTTTCAGGTATAGATTTTCAAATCTTGAAATTTGCATAGAATTATACAATTCTTAATATATTTCTTCGAAAAAGGAGTAGGATAAAATGCATATTATTTTATGTATCTTTCAGTTCAAATACTCAAACTTATGTCTGGCTTTCTTTTTATAACTCTCAATCTACTTTCATTTAGTTTCATAAATGTAAAATAACTTTAAATTCTGTACCCTCCAGGTAAATTTATATGTAGTAGAGCTGAAATCCATTTCTGTTTACATTTTTCCCAAACTTAGCTTGGATTAGTTGCCCCGACAATAATCTCTTAAATTTAATCAGATTTTGGCCCAAATTAGATGACAGGATAATGCTGAGTTTTCATAGGATAACATGCTTTGCATTTTCTTTCATAACCAGCTATAAAACATAGCTGACGTCTTATCACAAGGACTATTCAGGCAATTGCATAAATCACAGACAGCTGATTTCTAAGCACTGATTAAAAACAGATGACTATTGGGAAAATATTCATTCCCCTTCCATGTCTGCCAGTCTCCATCTCTGCAAAGTAGACTCAGAATCCTGGATCTCCTCACTGCTAGGGACACCTGGTGCCTTTCCTTCCCCAACCCAACCTGGAGTCTTGCTCGGTAGATGTGGAGAGGATGTCTCTGTTGCCACCGTTGGGCCCCCCTGGGAAGTGCCCATTGTGCTCATGGTCCTGGTTCCAGGTGGGAACATGAGTCCAGGCATCACCAGGTCTTCTGATTTTTCAAGAGAAGACCAAAATCTACTAACTC